TGACATCAGTACTGACAGATCTGCATGGTTTTGGTACAAGGTAGAAATCACTAAGAGCAAAGGTTATACAGTAGTAAACATTAATTGTGCTGTTTTCTCTACATGGCAACCAGCCTGTCTTTATGACCTGATAGAAACTAAAATCTCATTAATCAATTGGTCACATTTACCCTAAAGGCAGGTTCAGCAAGCATGTAGACTTAAAACTACATCAGATGTCTACAATATCTTCAATAAATATTATGTTGATTAATAAATAATAAAGAAGTCACTGAAGTAACTGTAAGTATATACTGTAAGTATATTGTTAAATTGTGTCTTCTTCTAGCATTATGTCCTGGTATGATTACCTGTTTTAATGAAAAACATATACAAAAACATATTTATCTGCCTTAATCACAACATTCTTTTCTTTATAAGAAAACTATTGTACTTTTTTGACATAAATCACAGAGCTTTCAAGTTCTCAGGGTGGTAAACCACTGGAAACATTTCTAATGTAGCAAAAATGAAGCACTGTGACAAGCATTTTATGAATAACACTTTTGATGTCAAGCTATAAGTGCTGAAATACTCAGGGCGTTGTTTCAACCTGACAACTGAGATTTTATAGCTGCTGTGCACTAAGAGACGCATTACAGCAGCCACTAACTGTCAGTAATTTCAGACAGGAGGTTTCATAATTGTTGTGTCAACAGGCTCTCTGGTTTCTCCTTTTGCCTTTAACACATTAGACAAGATGTCTGATCCAGATACTCTCAACATGTCACCAAAACTGTTTCATCCAAGTGTGTTTCAGTGACACATGTTGACATGATCGCAGCAGTTCATACTTGTTTTTTTTTTTTTTTTGGATTTGTTCATGTCTTACTTTATTTGTTCACTACAGAAAAAGTGTGACATCATTTCCTTCACTGATGGCTAAATGATACAGGCAGCGTTCAGTGCTGCTCACAGATGATACCTGAACACAGGTCTGCTGAGCAGCTTCCTGTTCTAAGATGACAACAGCCACAGAGCCCAGTGCACCAGAGAAAACTGCCTGACCCCCAGGATTTCTCACAAACCATATTTGTACTGAGAATATGTCTGATTAGTAACTGAGTGGCTATATTTAATCAAGTGCTGTACTTAAGTACAATTTTGAGGTACTTGTACATTACTCTCCTTTTCTAGTACATTGTGTTTTACTGTACTTCAGTACATCCATCTATCATCTATACCACTTATCCCAAATAAGGTCACGGGGGCTGGAGCCAATCCCAAATGACACTGGGCTAAAGCTCAGGTCCACCCTGGGCACATCATCAGTCTATCACAGGGCTGACACTCAGACTGGTGACTTAGAGTTGCCAGTCAACCTAAGCTGCATGTCTGTGGACTGTGGGAGGAAGCTGGAGTACCCAGAGAGAACCCACACAGGCACAGGGAGAACATGTTAATAACTCTACACAGAAAGGCCTGGGCCGATCCAGGCTCAAACCTGGAACCTTCTTGCTGTGAGGTGACAGCACTAGTCACTGTTTCACTATAACGCCCTGCTTCACTACATCTCAGAGACAAAGAGTGTACTTTGTGCTCCACTACCTTTATTTGCAGCAACAGTTACTAGCTACTTTCCAAATTAAGATTTTACTTCCAAAAAATATAATCAACTTATAAAATACTACGCACTGTTATGGGTTCAAGTACCCAGCATTATAGAAAATAACACATTTCAACCAGCTGTGACAAACTGCTGGCTACATGTTAATGTACTGGTAGCAATAGGCCCATAACAGAATATACAGTATACCATAATACTACTCTCTAGAAGAGTCATCCTGCTCAACAGGTAGTATTACTTTTGATAGTTTAATTACATTTTCCTCACACTTTGTACTTTTACTTAAATAAAAAATACAAGTACTTCCCCCTTTGATGAGTTTCATTATCTATGCACCAAATCAACCATTATACTACTGAAGTAAGCATGAGTAGTACTGTATATACTGTAATTTGCAAATAATCAGAAAGATTGGATCATGCTCTCCAGTAAAGTGCCAAATAACATAACTGCCATGCGATGACCACAGATTGGCAGTGTTCATTTGATAACACTGGTTTTATAGATATTAATAATTCCTAACTGCAAACCTTTTCTTGACTGGAGGCTTTTTATTGAGGTGAGAAAATTCCATGACTGACACCAAAAACATGCATTAACATACCATGGCAGAGCCAAGGTTAGCAAACCTGGACCTTACTCACTTATTACCCCTAACTATCCCTTTGGAAATATACATCTATAACATTTGGCATACAGACCTCTAATAACAAACGGCTAACAACCACTCATTATGGGGACTCAAGCATGCGATTTACAAATCTTAGGATCAGCAGTGTTGGACAGGTTCCCCTTGCTTTAAAATGGTTATTCCATCAAGGGCATGGCGGGCTGCATGATAAAATCTTGTGATTTATTCCCAGTGACTGATAATTACTGGTATCTTGTCACCTGTCAGAAATGAATGGACAGGGAGAGACTGAGGCTGTAGTCATCATGCTTTTTACACTACAGCAGTAAGTCTGACATGTTTGCGATGCCATAAATCACAGCTTGTGATAAAGTCTACTCCTTGAAGCAGAGCGGTGAGGGCTGAACATATAAAATTATTGTAGCTAGAAAGGTATGCAGCAGATAAGCAGGTTTATTTAAAGGGTGTGTTAAGTAAAGACGTTAGTTTACAACTTTGCAAAAATTGACCATCAGTTAAGCACAAAACAAGAAAGACAACAACGAGTAAAATGCTTAAACATTATTATTGCAGTTTATTTGTGCAATGTGTCTGTGCAGCTTTAATCACAGACAGTACACAGTGCTATGCGAATTAGTGAGCATTGTGTTTTTGCAGATTTTGTTGCACTACACAGTGATTTCAAGATTTTCTACTATATATGTAAGCCCGAAAAATGATTTGTATGAAGTACACATCTTGTGTCATCACTGCTCAATTTATGAGTGAGAAATACATGACCCAAACAAACTGTATATTGCCATATTCAGAACTAGTACTACCATTCCAAATTGCAGTAATTCAGCCTTTTTAACTTAATAAACATCCAGAGAGAGATAGAGATGCTACAGAACCAATCTTAATGGGTTCATTTGTGTTTGTAAGTTCACAAAACATATGTTCATGTCTGACTTATGAATGACTGGAGGGTCCAGACTGTCAGGTTTTAAAGAAATAAAGTCTCAGTTTCTACTCAAATTGCATAGGGTATTATTAAAGGGGAGTGGAGAATATTCCACATATCTAGGAAATAACTAAAATATGTTTATTTTGCACTACATCTGTAGCAATATACAACATGCAAAACCTCAGGAAATATCTAAACTGTTGCATTAGTCTTCAATGACTGTATATGTGGGAGTATTAAATTGAAAAACTTTATAATGAGTGAATAGTTCAAGTCTCCTCTGATCTCGAGGGCACAATCATAGGAAGACTACATTGAATCTTTCCACATCAAATAAATTATTTGCCTTTAGAGCTAAAGCTCTGGGCCATAACTGTTTTAAAGGTTGGTGTCTCAGAGCAGCAACACTTCCAATAAAAAGATGCGGGCAGGAAGGAAGCAATGCCTCTCAACGACCCCCAGTTCAGTGGCTTAGGCCCTACCCTTTAGCTACCTGACCAGTAGCCCACCGTAGCTAAAGGTCAGTGCAGTCACCTTTCACTGTGTCTGGTATGTGTATAGTGCTGGGTAAACCATCGAGTATTGAAAAATGTCAGGTAACAAAAAATCCTTTTCTACATTTTTATTTATTTATGTTAATGTTAACAGAACTTAAGGTTGTGGTGAATATGTTTACTTTTTTGTTATGAAGCTTCTTTGAAAAAGCAGTTGGATTGGAAAATAAAACGAATAACTCAGCAGCAATTGTAGGTTCTAATTGTAAAATATTTGCCCTTGTTTTTTCTCTCTCTTTGAAGTTGAGGGCTTGCTCTGCTCTTGTCCTCAGGTGCTGACCCTGACTGATTTATGGGGATGGTTTCCAAGGAAGCTACTCTAAATTACATGGCCCTTCAACCTGAGCAGAGAGGGACAGAGAGAGAGAGGGAGAGAGAATCGCCACTCTAGAGACAACTAATTGCAAGGACGAATGTGACCTGAGCCAGATAAGAAGGCTCCTCTCTTCCCTGACCTGAAAAAAAGGGGAAATGTGTATAATAGATTAGACCACTTGGATAAATGTGCAATTTGTCACAAATGTTCCTGAGACTAATATTCATTGAACACCTAGTTGAAGTGCATTCCTTCATTGCTATGCAGAAAATGAAATAATTGTTTTGGTGGCTATTCAGTGACATCAGAGTGCTGTTATTTGTAGTTAAATAAATTACAATTTTAGAAAATGGACCATTTGACTAGCATCAGTTTGCTTTTTAAAACTCTACAGTTTCATGGAAAGTCTTAAGTAACAATACACCTAATTGGAGTTAGGCATTATATGAGCATTAATCTCCAACAATTCTACTGAATCAAATTCTCAATAAAGGCGTTAAAGGAAGTGTGAAGTCACTAGATTGTATATTTTTCTTTTGTTTAAGATTGATATGAGGTGTTGGCATGGCTCCGCAAGCTCCTGTAAGGGATGCCAGGAAGAGTCAGAGTAGGAGGAGGAGGTGACAGTGCCATTTGCCTGGAGGGCGCCCATAAACCAGGAGAGGTAGAGAGAGTGCACCATTCCTCACAGGTGACTATACCATGTGACTTCACGAGCTTTAAAAAGCAGGCCAACCTGTCTTGTTGCAGTACAAGTAATCACAAGACACCAGAGGAATCAGAGGAGGAGAATACCAGGGCTGCCCGCACAGCAGCGAATACCGACGGCCCCACAAAACCAAGACAAGGATCACTTGCAGTCTGCGAACACAGCAGACCAAATTTAAACACAGACCTTCGCTACACCTATGATACACAGCTCACCTACTTTCAACATTATTGACACAATGAGCTGCAGCAGTGTTGCAGGTTCAGAGTTCTCTGAGGAAGAGCTGGAGCTGGGAATGCTGGGCCAAGGGGAGGATGATGGAAATCCAAAGGCATCTTTCCGAAACAGCGAGAGCTCAGCCAGCAGCCCGAGCGACCCAGAGGAGGGCCAGACCAAGAAGCGCAATCGACCTGTCCGCTCAAAAGCTAGAAGAATAGCTGCCAATGTTCGCGAGCGGAAACGCATCGTGGACTATAACCAGGCCTTCAATGCCCTGCGTGTTGCTCTGAACCATGACCTCAGCGGCAAACGGCTCTCTAAGATCGCCACACTGCAGAGGGCCATCAATCGTATCTCTGCTCTCTCAGTATTTCTTAGCTCCAACCCTCCCAGCAAGCCCTGCACTCACCGGGAGTGCAACAGGGCATCTGTGGGGTCAGCTGCCATGCCATCTTCTATACTTGAACAGACCAGGGTAGTAGTTCCTCGTCTGGAGCATCAGAGCTACATCGCCTGGCAGGCATCCATCTCTCACCAGATGCAGCCGCAACAGGGCCCTCATGTGCACAGGATGCCCACAAAGCCACACATCTTCATAGAGAGCACTGTGTCATCATGTCCCCCATCACCACATTACCCTTGTTATCCCACTGAGGGACAGCTTTATGCCTCACATGAACACTGCAGCGGCTCCCACGACCATCTGCCCAGTCCTCTGCGATACCCTCAGATGGGTGAGGGGTTGGGGTACCAGCCAGGGCTGTGGGCCTCCTGCACTCAGGGATACATGGACACTTTTGTCAAGCTGTCTCCAGCTGGGGGGCTTCCATGGCAGGTGAGCTACCGGCAGGAGCCAGAGCATAGCCACTCTCTGTGCTCTGACATACATCCACCACTGTGAGCCCTGAAGACTGCTGCTAATGGACTGGTGAGCAATCTAAGGGAGAAAACCACTGTGAGGGTTTTGTGCTTGTGCTGTTTCCAATCAGCTCAATATTACAACAACACTCTTACTGAAGAGCAGAGTCATCTAAGTGTCACTAACAAATACAAATACAAATAAAATGCAGTGGCAGTCTAGACTGCAGAATGCTATCAATACTTGAAAATGTATATTGATCTATCTGTTGAGTTAATTTAACCACAAAGTGAGTGATTGAGTTGTTACTGAAACTTGTCATCTGTTGGGCTTCTGCATAAGCTAACTCACCAATTTTAAAAAAGATATTCAAAAACATTAACAGTCAGTTGAGTAACACCATAAAAATCAATAAGCTGACTAATCAACAAAGCTGGGACAGTCTACACAGGTTTTATATTTAACTTGCTCTTACAGTATGTTTTTGTTTTGAGTAGTGCAACGTGCATCTGTAAGATCTGAAGCAGAATTTCAACTTAATTTAGTGTTTTTTTTTCTGTATTGCATAAAAAGTCATGGCTGCTTATTAAATTGTAAAGACTTTGTACATCCCATTCTAAACAACAAAATTAAATGCTAAAATGACATGGCTCCTGTAATGTTTCCTTTCATGACATAAATGTTGACTTTAAATGTTGATTTATTTGGTTCTCGGGGCTTCCTTATTATTCTAACAAAACCCTTTGCTCCATAAATGTGTGTGCTTAAGTGTGAGCATGCACACCTATGTGTGCATGTGTGTCTGTGTGTGTTTGATTATGGCCTAGGGTTGGTAGCCTCTACCATTCCAAAATGATGGAGGTCCGTCACTCAGTTGACAAATTTTCTTACAAGTCCATTCTTGTCATTTTCCTGGGAGAAGAAAAGTCAAGGTCCTATTTACACAGCAAAATAAAAGTATGGGCCAACAGTGACAGTGCTTTCGCTATGTGAGCCTAAAAATCGATAAGTAATGCATGAGAAGTGTATCTTACAAGGAATTCTTTCATGGACTATTTGCTTTCTGGATAGTACTGTGCAGTACACTTTTTGTTAAAACAATGGCTCTACAATAACAGCAAGTTAAATTATTACTACTGGTAAGTCAGCTCGTCTTTGTGCACATCAAGGAGAGTAAATTCTAACCATAATCTCTCCTCCTGGCTCCATCAATTCATGTTAGTCAACAACAGGTATCCTTCACCTACTGAGCAGCAGCTCATGGAAAACAGCTTAATTATTAGACTATGGGAGAGAGCCCACCGACAGATTTATGTGGGTTCAGGAAGGAAGACCGTGCCCCGTCATCAGTATGGCGAAATCCCCTTTCTGGCAGCACTGGCCCGCAGGTGGAATTGAGTGCGTGAGATTTTTTTGAACATCCTGGAGGTCTCCCAACAAAGGTCTTAAGATGCTCCTGAAAAGAGCTGGCCAGGGGAGAAATAATGTAGGCTTAGTGGAGAAATTAATGGTGTGGTACAGAAACAAATAGCAGGCAGGAAGGGAAGAGAATATGGATAAAGAGATGGAGTGAAATAATAAGAAGAGCAGGATATAGGTGGCAAGAAAACAGAGGTGAGTGACTACACTTTGAGCCTGTCATGTACCTTCTGCACAGACATGAATCACTGGAAAGCCTTGACTCACCAGTGAGAGACAAGTGAGGCTGACAGCACTCGGTGACGGTATGTCTCTTTCTCCTCCCTTTCTGGCACAAAAGCAGATCTCCACTCATGACAGTGCCAGTTTATCTACTTGTCTTGGGCTTCAAAAGACTCCATAGTGAAAGTGGGCTGATGGTACTATACAAAGACTAAAGTGGCTTGTGACTGGTTTATTTCAAAGGCAGACAACATCAGGTCACTAAGAGTGCAAAAAGCCTGGCTTTTTGTTACAGTACTGTTTGCACCAGCTGCCAAAGAATGGCTTTACTGGATGCTTTGTAGTATTTTCATTATTTGTTTACTTATGGATTTGCTAACAAAATTGACAAACACAACAAAAATCACCAACAGAAACATTTAATTAGAACTGTATGTCAGATATAGTGATTTCATCACAGTTCAGATTTGTGTTTAAAAAGTGACACATTTATACATTTATAAATATGTTATGACTATCTTTCTGGTTGTGGGCTGCTGGTCAGACCTACAGCAGCAAGACATCACCCCAGGCTTCACCTGGGATCGTGACAGGCACTGTTCACTGATTAGTAAGGAAAATAACCATCAGAGTCACTGATACTGAAAATATTTGTTGGTTGCAGTCCTACTGTGAAATGCATTATCCAGATCATATGTAGGCTATTTACCAAACCCAGTTCAGGAGAAAGTATTTGGTAGTGAGAATCCCACAGCTTTGTCTAATGCCTTAAAAGGGCAACTTCCTCATGTTGAATTGTGAGTTATGTATTTCTTTCTCCGACATATGAGCCTGTGAGTGATGCATATTTTCTTGAGACTGTTCTGCCTCCTTGACACCCTCCACTGCCAAGCTGATGGAAAAGAAAACAAGCATCATTGAGAAATGATGCCAAGACACAAGGGTGGGTTTGTTTGATATATGGGGGTGAATTAGCCTTCAAAGTGCCCAGCCCCCTGCTCCCCATGTACTGTACACACACACTATGCTGATATGACATCATTTATGAGGTGAAGGAAGTGAAGGTGCCAGTGGACATGATGAAACAGGCTTAGTTTGTTCACATAACACGCACAAACACATCGTATCTTAACTGTGTGAGACACACAACTGTAGCAGGGTCTGTTAAGGTACCTGCTACTTTGAAAAACTATGCTTAGAAGAAAATCCTTTTAAACTGCTCAATTATAGCAGCATATACTGTATAAAGCAAATAAATAAAAATGTTTTCAGCTGAAAAGCGATTAACATTATCAAAAGACATCTCTGAAAATAATGCCTTTTACAACATAAATATATTGATCACGGTAAATCATTTAGTTGGAACAGTTTCCAAAGTTTCTTGGGGGATTTTTGCTTTTGACTCACTACACAATTTTATGTTCTGACATGCCAGTGAATGACATTCACATAGTAAACTTTACAAGTAGAAATAAAAACCATTGGAAACATTCCCAACTATACTTTGCGAAACATTTACACAGAGTTACAGCTTAGGGTTACAAACTGTAGCATCTTAGTGTCTTTATTTTTTCGATAAGTTGTTGCATGAGTAGGACCTACAATGTTTCTTTTTACATTCTTAGAGGCTTTCTCCTTTATGCTGGAGTCAAATTGTATTGCATTATTATGTCAGGTTTCTTTTCTTGTTAAATATTGACTCTTGCCCCACTCATTCATGAAGTGGTACCTCTGGCCTTTTGTCTTGACTAATGCACAAGCTGTAGCTTGTTTTATCGATTTGTTTGGATTCACAGAGCAGTAAGCAGTTTCACTACTGAACACTAGATGGAGGCAATATAATACAGCTCTGCTGTAGGTTCAGCAATGAAAGGATCCAGGGTCTGGTTTTCACAGATAGTCAGTAAATAACCAGTGGCAGGAAAAACTCAAACAACAGGTACAGCGTATTTCACATTGCATAAGAAAGACCTCACAGTTTTGCAGGTGAGTTAAGACCTTGTTGGATGATACAAAACCATGTGTGAGGATGTCTATTATCTAATTTTGATTTGTTTCAAGGGTTTTTAGGGTTTTGTTACCACAGATTCCTCATGGAAGCAAGTTCTTAACAGTTCTTTGAATTAGGAATGGTTGTCCCCTATATAATTTTCCTTTTCTCACAAACTGAAGACATTTTAGTTTTAATTTTCAACTGAAGATGGATTACAAGAACAAATGATGTCAGATGAGGTAAAATAAAACTTAAATGCAAAGCCAGGTCACAGTTATAATGGAGTATTTCACCAGGGACAACACATCCATAATAATAATAATAAGGGATTTGTAATTACACAAATAACATTAATTACACAAAAATTCCATCAAAATGCCCTTGCAACTTATTTTTAACCTGCATAACATCAAGGTCTCAGTACTTACAAAAATTATTTTGTTCTTTTACTTGTGCAAGGTCTGTGTGAGAATCTGGACTCTCGGTCACTGGTTTTAAAAAACTCAGACTTCATATTCATTTTCTTTATGTCTAGCACCATCCCTGTCAGGACAGAAAGACAAATGCTTGACAACAGGAACTATCACAGTTTAATTGGAACAATTGGTCACCACAGTGCTGCTTGATCAGCCAATCAAAAGTCTGTGGAGTGAGGAAGGCCAGTCCACAATCTGAGAGAGTGCAGCTGACACTAATACCCATTGGATCTGATCCTGGATAGTTTAGTTCTCTCCATTTTCCTATCTACCAGTACTCCTGCTAATAACACTAGAGCCCACCTGATGCCACATCACTACTGTGGGCCAAACTAATTGCTCTATTTCTCCATGACATTGTGGAGTAAACAGTGCTATCTATGCATTCTGGGTTTTTTTTAATGAGCTTGACAGAAGTAAGACCAAACCTGGTAGAGAGTAAGTGTGTGTATGTTTCCGCCCACAAACATTGTTGAGGACAATGATGGGCAGTGCCTTATCTGATGGCTCAAGTGCAAGTTCAGAATCAAAGAAAGCCTGTGAAGTTACAGACATGATAGCATTAGTCCATGCATTATTGTAGCTACTATTAGCTTAAATCCATATTTGTTTAGAGTTCTAGGCAGTTTGTAATTATATACTGACAATGTTCAGTTTGAAATATTAGAGTTTATTTAAGGTACCTCACATTTTATGTTATAGTATACTGAAGACAACACTAACACCATTAAGCTGTTCTTTTTGCATAGTGCATAGCCACAATGGCTAGTTGACAACAGTAGCATTAGGATTAACTAGCTAACTACATTAGAGGCTGTTAATTTACACTCTATTGGCCATTTTCAGAAGATGGCTTAGTTAAAGTGTCAGCTGTCAATTGAATACCACTGTAGCTACATACCATACAGAAAACAACAGTATAACGGTCATGC